AAAAAAAAAAAATCTGTATTGGTCTGGCCATACTAAAAAGGACTTTTTGGGGGGGGAGAAGGCTCTTCATGGCACTTCAATGGGTAATATTGATTTGTAATCGAGGTACACTGACTTACGAATTTTGTCATGAAACAAATTGAACTCAGAAATCTAAGTATTGCTATAGTCATTTATATATTTTTTTCAAAATGTGCTAAATATATTGCAGACATCAGAACAGATTTGTGCTGGACTAATTCAATGATCACAGCCAGGTGAGATTTTCCAGCGTGGTCTGAGCCAAGCAGCGTCCTTCCTGGGACGGCTCCATCCTGAACAGAAGCGTGCAGAGATTTGGACCTTGTACCCTTGCTAACGGTGTCGATAAGAGCAAAGGACAACAAATGACGCACATCAAGGAACACCTGCATAACCTAATGATGTGCAAAGTACGTGTTGCATATCATTAGGTTGTGAAGGTGCCCTATAAAAAAATGCATTGAAACGCCTTTGGCATACTAATAAATGCGATACTGGTGAAAGTTCATGTCATTTAAGGGTCCCCCACACCACAATGCAAAAATCACACTCTAGTGCTCCCTGGAAAGTTCGCAAAAAAAAAAAAAATCAGCTGAACTGCTGTTTGTTTTGAAATAAGTTTACGATTACCATACAGCACTTGCACCTACATTTTTTTGCTGGCAAGTGCCAGCAAAAAATTATTCCAATGACAGCTTGTATGAAAAAAAAAAAACAACCAAACAAAGAAACTGTTATTTTGGACAATTGCATCGCCAGGCACCAGTAGTATAGTTTTTTTTTTTTTTTAGAGGGAGCTTTCACTTCTTAAAATAAAAATGCGATTCTTGGTAGTTCCTCTTCCATAGGAAAGTAAGCCATTAAAACGCCTCTTTCAGAAAATAAGAACACTGCATTAAAATATGGGGATGGACACAAATGGCCACTGTTGAACCCTGCAGAGAGGTAAGACTTGCAGAAATGCCAGCCCCTCTGCGTTGGAGGCTTCTAAGCGGAGTCTTTTACGAGCCCATATCCGAGGAGGAGCCATTTTTTATATGCGTCTGACTTTGACCATCAGGGAACGACATTTCCAATGATGCGCCCGCCTCAACCATTGTGTCACTTCTGCAAGATAAAATAAGAAACCCTTGATTTGTTTCACAATGGAGAAATTCCCAATTTACAACAGTAAAATGATGAAAGGGAGAAAGTAGAAGAACAAAAAGTACATCAATAAATATAAATGATAAAATATAGATACAAGCATATTAAAATGGGTGTGTGTGGGTGAGTCCAGGTTTTCAGGACCGTCTATTCAATAGCCTGACGGGAGTCGGCAGGAATGAGCGGCGGTACCTCTCCTTGCAGCGCGGGTGTACCGGTCTCTGGCTGAAGGAGCTGCCCAGTGGTGTCAGGGCGGCCTGGAGGGACGGGGGGGGAGGGTCTGTCCATCACAGCTGTTAGCTTAGCTAGCATCCTCCTGCACCTTGAGCTGCCGTTGTCTCAGGTACACACGCGCGTGGCAGTGACGTCTTGTGTCTTGCGTTGACATGCCGAGGTTCAGAGTTCAATTGCACCCGAGGGCGGCAGCTGCAATCGCGACGGGGTCGCCATTACTTCCTCAAGGCAGGGCTGAGTATGTACTCGTAGTTCCCAAGTGGCGTTCACTTGTCGCTTTTGTGGAGCAGTGACGTGGCCTGGGGGTGAATTCAGACGACTGAAAAGCGAAAAGCAAGAACATCCTTCCCCAGCATTTTGATCTTTCTGATGCGACAAAGAACACAATCGAAAATAAATATAATTGATTTGATATTGTGCCTTAATGTTTTGGGCTTCAATACTGAACAATAAGTCATTCAACGCCTCTTTGGCAAACAAGAAGACAACATGAAATTGCTCCCTGGTCCAAAATTTAAGAAATGATGAAATCTGTAACAACTAAAATTTTTATGCTGAGTCATGAATGCAGCCCGTTTTACACAATTTGATCTAGCTAGCTAGCAAGCTAGCTAGTCTACTTATCAATGTGTGTGTGTGTGTGCGTGTGTGTGTGTGTGTGTGTGTGTGTGTGTCTCGCTGTCGCTTTCATACATGACTGACACTCAGGTGGATTACAGATGTTCTTTTTATTGTAACAATGCAACACAAAATGGCGGGAGGGAGCAATGGTGAAACGGCATTCAGTCACAGACAGCTATCACTCTGCATTCCTCGTAGCTCTGACTGACCAACAAAATATTGTTTCCACGCTTATCAGAACACAAAATATACGTGTGTGATCTTATAGTATTTTAACTCAAACATTCTGGTCGAAATGATAAGACTGCTCGTCATATATTTTGCAACTCTCCACAAAAAAGAAGCCTCGTTTACGAAGTGTCATTGAATACACCACAGGCAGCAGAGGCGCGACTTCGTAATACGAACACGAACGGCGGCGGCTGTCAACTGCCGTTTCTAATGACTGCACACGCTTTCTGATGGGGCCAAGATGCAAAACATTGGAAGGACCCGGGTGAAAATGTGTCACCTGTTCATGAGGATGAGGGACAGCTACGAGGATATCATATATTTTATTTGGATAAATACAGCATTCAGGAAGCCACCACAGCCCTTAGCCGGAAGGGAAAAAGACA